CAACTCTTCGTATAAATACTTAGATGAAGAAATTGCAGGAAAGAATATATATAACAGTTCAACTAGTGACAATGTCAGCTCTGTCTCAAGAATAATCCTGAAAGTGAAAATAGAAATCAAATTGGTACAACTGGGGAGGAAGTTATCTGGGACAACACTGGCAAATAAATTTTTCTGAATTACTGAGACCAATATTTGTCGGTGTTAATGAATACTTTTTCAGGGTGGCCAGAAGCATTCCCTTGTAGAATAAATAATGCAAGACAAGTAATTGGAACACTGTTAAACAGTCTAACACCTTGTTTTGGAGTACCAGAGGCAATTTCTTGGCTCCCCTTTAGTGCAAAATAGTTACAAGAAATTAGCAAAAATTAGAAATTGATTGGCAACTACATGTTCCTTACAGGAAGGCCAGTGGGCAAATAGAAAAGATGATCAAACAACAGATTAGTAAAATATGTCAAGATATTGATACCAAGCTTTACCACTGGCTCTACTGAGAATTTGATCTAAACCTTGGTCGAAAGAAGAGGCTATTCCATGTAAAATTCTATATGAAAGATCACATCAGTCCCAGTTTAAAGGAGAAAGTCTTCTGGAAGTGGGAGAAGGTTATCTCCTAGGGTTTCTGATCAATCTGGGAAAACAGTTAGAAGAAATAAGAGAATACTGGGGACAAGAGCGAGAGGCATGGATTATCCAACTCACCCTTTTAGATCCAGAGACTGGGTTTATGTTAAGAATTTTTCAGGAGATACTCTACAGGAGAAGTGGAGCGGACTGTACCAGATAATATTGACCACCTTTACAGCAGTGAAGATAAAGGAACAACCTTTCTTCAAAAATGAAGAAAGCATGAGAACCTGAGAAGACATGGTGGATTGAACCTTCAGGACCTTCACATATGAAATTGTATCAGTCGTAATTTGGATTTATGTGATAACTGACATACTAGCTTGGGACTAATACTTACTTGAAATTAATGCAGAATGTTACTAAAGTTGTTAATTGTAGTGATGGTTGGGTGTGTGCACAGTTGCCTAAATCAGGAGAAGATCAGGGCCTTCCGTTAATTGGCATTCCAATTTCCAACACTATCTCATGGACAAATTTAAGATTTGGAATAGTTAATCCTAATTGAAGTAAAGAATATTACACCTGTGTACAAAGATGTATTACACCAGGAACCAGAGTATGAGGTTTGTTTAAATGCCGCAGGTGTAAGTCACTATTCAAATTGCAATCACACTATTAATATAGATGGTATTGTGGTTCAGTGGTGGCCCGTTCCTGAAGGGAAAGGGTGGCATTGGTTATGTGGAGAAAATGCTTATAAGACCCTACCCCCAACTGGAAGGGGGCATGCACCTTGGGTGCTGTGATACCCCATCTCGGAACCTGGGTTAGAAGTTTTGCTAATTTCATAGTTTTGTGAGATGGCTAATTCCATTTTTGGGAGTAAGTAAATTAGAGAAGACAATCATAAAATATCTCAGAAACCATAGAGGAAATAGAAACTAAAACCATTGATATAATCCAAGTGAAACAAGAAGCATTGAAAGTTGTTGTTCCTGAAACAGATCTGGAGGAAATTTGGAAACAAACTAAGATATTTCAAGGATGATACCTCCTGGGGGTTTGAAGAAAAAGTTAACCTCATGGTTACTTAATCTCTCCTGGTTAAGGCAACTGGTTATTAATATTAATTTTTTCAGTATTGATTACTTGTCGTGTAACAAAAATTTTCTTTCTGGAATTGTAAACGAACTATGATAAATTATGAAGATTGGAAAAAGAAATGAAATTTAAACAAATAGAAACAGGAAACTATTTCAAAAAGACTCTAGATGGTAATGGTAGTATATAAAATGTTGCAAAAGAATTTGCAAAAGGACAGAAAAAGGGCGGATTTGAAACAAGGAGGCACAAAAGTACAAAATGTAATCAGTTCTAAGTAATGTTAAGTTTGATGGCTAAGTAATGGAAAATAACTGCGGTGCTTGAAGGTAGATGACATGGTTTCAGGCCCTCGGGGCCTCAGTACAAAAGGTGTGAGAAAAGCAGAATAGAAGGACAGGACCTGGGGATGGGGAGTATCTGTGACTAACAGATGTCCAGGGTGGGCACAGATAAACAGATAAGTAAAAGGACAGGATGATTGCTATGCTTGAGGTGTTAATAAACCCATTAAACTGGTCTAAGCATCTACTAGGGAGTATCCCGGACTAGCAGATGTCCAGGATGAGAGCAGTTAAACTAACTGATAAGTAGAAGGCCAGGATGATTGCTATGTCTGTAATGTTAATTAAGCTTGTTGGGAAAAGTAAACGACCCTTAAAGACCACCACATTTTGTATGCATGCCGGAAACCTTTTGGAAAATGATGTAACCATATAAGGATGACCTGTATAGCAATTCAGGGACACACCTTAGGAGGAGCTATCCCCCGTGTCTCCCGGAGGCACAATAAAGAATACCTGCTTGTCAACTTGAAACTCTGTTGGCAAGTTTGTTCCTGGATTTTTCTCCGAATCAGTACAGATCTGGTGTCCTCAACATAAAAAGGACATGGAACTGTTGGAACAAGTGCAGAGAAGGGCCACGACGATGATCAGGGGACTGGAGCACCTCCCATATGAAGACAGGCTGAGGAAGTTGGGGCTGTTCTGCCTGGAGAAGAAAAGGCTGCGTGGAGACCTCACGGCAGCCTTCCAGTATCTGAAGGGGACTTATTAGGGCTGCTGGGGAGGGACTCTTCATTAGGGACTGTATTGATGGGACAACGGGTAATGGGTTAAAACTTAAGCAGGGGAAGTTTAGATTGGATATAAGGAAGAAGTTTTTTACTGTAAGAGTGGTGAGGCAGTGGAATGGGCTGCCCACGGAGGTTGTGAATGCTCTGTCCCTGGTGGTGTTCAAGTCCAGGTTGGACAAAGCCTTGGGTGAGATGGTTTAGTGTGAGGTGTCCCTGCCCATGGCAGTGGGGGTTGGAACTTGATGATCTGAAGGTCCTTTCCAACCCTAACTATACTATGATTCTATGATTCTGTATTTGGACAATATTGCTGTTTGGGGGAGATCAAATTTTACTAAGTGAGAAAGAAGATGAGGGATATTGGTGGCCAGGAGTATTTTTAGCCATCAGTAACCACCGCTCACCCTGGTCCCTAACTCGAAGAGCAACTTATTGGGCTGGAGGATTTAACCCTTTGGAAAGGGGAGATCCCCTCTCCATCACAGGGACAGTCTACCAGTTGGTAGAAGATGTAGAGAAAGTGGTATGTCTACAAATGATGCATGATCAGGAACTTACTTAAACAGGACTCCCCAATGATACCATTAGATCCCGAATGTATGACTCCCCTCATTTGGGGTCCTCCCAGCTCCCTGAAAGCTGTGGGCATACAATTGCAGGGAAAGAAATAAGCAACAACCCAAAGTGAAAGGGCCTTTGATGTCTTGGGAGGATTGTTATCACCTGATTGAAAGACAGAGAAGAAAGTATGGACATGTGGGGAAGTTGCCCAGGAGTTGATTAATTATGGGAGAAACTATGGTCCCATCAATATTTCTGGTAAAATTTATACTAAGGGACTGAAGCGAACAGAGGCAAAACCGCCTCTTCATCAGACTAATGGGAAATGCCAGACACCCCCTACTTGCCCAGGAGTTAGAAATATTCCCAATAAAAGGCAAGGGTTGTGGACATTGGGGTGGCAAAAGGGTGTTCCTAAGGACTTAATGCATGGACTACCCACTGATAAATTGGAAAAGCTGATGTTAGAGTGGCCTGAAATAATCCCCATAGGCCCTAAAATATGGAAAAATGTGAAGGCCCCAGTGCCCCCGCCACTAACTAGCTCCACCCCTTGATTGTGAGCAGAGCGATGGAGGATGGATATATATTTGACAGCTCCCTGAAAATAATTAAGATGAATTACTTGTTTTGTGGGACCTATCTGGTGCCACATTTTTCACTTGCTTTGTATATTTTGTAGGACCTCATAGAGAACTCAACTCATAATACTATTGCCATTTGTCCCACAGAATTTCACAGGATTTTACAATTTTGTTAGATGGTTTCTCCCTTGGTTGGGGGTGAGTGAATTAGAAAAGATGATTGTAAATATGTCTGCAGTAATTAAAAACTTAAAAACTTTGAAAATGTGAATTATAAGCTCACTCCTCTGATCAAGATAACAGGGTTTTATTGAGGGACAAAGCCAATAAAATAAAAGCAACAGCACTAGGCATGTGACCGTAGCCAGAGGTGCATTGATTAGCTTTGTAACAGGTTTATATACATTCACTACTGCATTAGTCATATACATATTCATAATTCCTGCATTGATTCAGAGAAAACTCCAGGAACAAACTCGCCAACAGAGTTTCAAGTTGACACACAAGTATTCTTTATTGAGGCGCTGGGAGACATGGGGGATAGCTCCTCCTAATGTGTGTCCCCGTATTGCTATACAGGCCATCCTTATATATAAGGCTACACATGAATGACATTATTTTCCAGAAAGTTTCCCACATGCATACAAAAAATGTGATGGTGGTCTTTAAGGGTCATTTTTTTCTCCCGGTAATCTTCCTAACTTCTGGCAGTCTTTGAAACACCAGCTTAATTAACACCACAAACATAGCAATCATCCTGTCCTTCTACTCATCAGTTAGTTTACCTGTGCCCATCCTGGACATCTGCTAGTCCCAGATACTCCCCATCCCCAGGTCCTGTCCTTCTATTCTGCTTTTCTCACACCTTTTGTACTAAGGTCCTAAGGACCTAAAACTATGTCAACTACCTTCAAGCACTGCAGTTACTTTCCATTACAAAGCCATCATACTTAATGTTACTTAGAACTGACTATATTGTGCTTTTGTGCCTCCTTGTCTCAGCATATAGGCGGGGAATATCATAACTAGCTCCAGGAGCTTATTATTGTAAGTCTCCTCCTCTTGGCATCTGTGCACTACTCTCCAGTGAGTGTGGGCAGGGGTCTTCAAGATGAAGTAAGCAGTCATCCTCACGGTGTACTTTTCACCTTTGGCACAGTTGGATGCCCCAGTAATCACACAACTAGCTGAAACCAGCCATATCTGTAATTTTTCTGATAGCTGGCAGATTTAGAACAGTGTGACCTTTGTGCAAAATTTATTGCAAGCAAAACAGGACAGGCAGACAAGGAGTATCCAAAGCTAGCAGATGTTTGGGAGGCACTGTCTCTAAACTAACTGATAAGTAGAATGATGGTGTGAAGTAATTCACTCCTGTTTAGTGAGTTTAGTCTGTTACCTCACCAGACTTACAACATAACCATTGTTCTTTTTCTTCCACCTAAGTTAAGCTAAAAGTACTTTAGAAGGATGGTGTAAAATAATTCACCCATGTTTAGTGGAGCCACTAAATTCTGTTATCTCACCACAGACTTACAACACAAACATTGTTCTTTACCTTTGACATAAGTTAAGCTAAAAGTACTTTAACCCTATGTTTTCCAGGCACTAGCTTTCCTCATATCAAGCCCCCTCCCCTTTTCTTTTACCTTTACAAATTTTTTTGCTATGTGACTCTATTTTGCTCAAGAGTTCTGGTCATTTTCAACTTCTTGTCTTATCGTGTGTCTTTAGGGAACTTTGCAAACTCATACAGTTATATCCACATAGCAGCACCTGTGATTTGTGAAAGCCAATACATTCCTGCATTTATCACAAAAGTGAAATTATAGATCCTATACAGGCATTACTGTATATATTGAGGGATCCAGCATTGAGGAATCCAGCCAGGTGACACTGCAAAACCGTCTGGCCCTTGACTTACTATTAGCTTCCCCAAGGAGGTGTCTGTACAACCATAAATGAAAGCTGCTGCACATACTTGGATCAGAGCAGCAAAATGTCTACAGATTTGGCTGAAATTTGTGAACAAAAGAATCTTGCACCAAGTCACTAGAGATGATGCCTCATGGGTTTGGAAGAGTTATGGTACAAACCTACCTCAGGGTACCAAATTGGACATGGTTAAAGAATTTGTTTGTAATCATTGTAATAATTATTATTTGTGTTTGTACCCTAGCAGGCATGATTCAATGTTACTGTTCACAATGGTGTTTCAGAATTAAATATGGGAAAATATGAGATGAGGCTTAAAGGACATAAGTGTATCATGTAAGCCTCAAAAGGGGGAATTGTAAGCTGAAATCTAAGTTGTAAATTAAAACCACTGTGTTAACTGTAAGATGTAAATTGGGACCAGTCAGTTTAGGGCAAGATGGGGCTGGTTCTTCAAGGTAGGGAGCTGAATCAGAACAAACCGACCTAAACTGTGGACATGGTTGTGAAGTAATTCACAAAAGTCTTTGTACATGAGCAAGCACCGAGGTTAATTAGTGGACACAGTGAGGAAGACTACTGATGACTACTAGAGACCCCTCGACCACCACACAGCAAGGAAGCCCATGTGTGATTAAAATATGCATATTATCACTCTAGGAAATATAGTGAATATTTGTAAACAAATTGGTGGCCCCAGGTGGCTCAGTCACTCGTGAGGCTTTGATAAAGCATTTTAACAAATTATAAAGCATTACAGAACCTGGAACCCTAACAAGTTGGTCAGCTTCAAGCACCAAGTTGATGCTTGAGAACCTATTTATAACTTAAATTGCATTATTCAGTTATGAATGAAACAGCCTGTGCCCTTGATCTGTTAAGTAAGCAAATCAGATTAATATGTCCACAGAAACCATTCATTGTAGAAATAGTTTAAACCACTGCTCTTTTAAATTTTTGCACTACCTCTTTTCTAAAACCACCTGGGTCCAGAACAATCAGAAGACCCAAGGAGAGATTTTTGTCAAATGAGATACAACAATGACTTTTGAATGATCTTTCCTAATTGATAGTTCAAACTTCCTTTGTCATCTTTATTCATAAAATGCCTTTATTGCCAAACTTGAACAAGACTTCCATGTTCTGTGGATGCTCCTGAAGAACCTAGCTACCAGTTAATGTAAAGCCGTGTGGTCTGCATGTCATCATCTTGCTAACAGACATGGAGTAGGACTCCTTTTCAAGTCTAGTGTAGCCAAACCCTTGGTTTGGTTGCAGTTTCATTTCTCCTGTGATATCTCAGAGGCTCTTTCTAGCATATGTGCTTTCCAGCATATGCTGATTTGTTGCCATGGTAACAAGTATCCATCTTCTTGATTGTTCTGTTGTCATTTTGACTTCTATTTTCTTATGCCTTGCCCATTGAAGTCATATTCATTCCCCCTAACAACACAGAACTAATCTATTCAGCATCTGGCGTTGGCTCCCAGTACCTATAAGCTCAACTCTTGCTTTCTTATTTGTGTCACAGGATCCAGCTTGGGATGTTGGTCAGAAAGAGGAGTCAGTAAGCCCTGCCAACAGGGTTTTGGTCTGAATTAGCAGTTCTCTGATAATTTGTTCAGACATTATTAGATATAGGTGTATACTGGACATTTCTTCTCCAAATATATTTTGTGAAATATTGTTTCTTTTTCACCTTTCAGAGACCATGGGTTCAGGCCTTGATTCTACTATAAGAAGCTCCCTTGAACCTTTCCTGTGTCTTAGTCCTTGGCCACAGGGTGGACACAAGAGCACTCTGCTGTACTGGAGGGATAAGATGCTGGGATAACAGAGACTGCAAAAGAAGCATAAGTAAGAAGCTTGCTACATAACATAACATAGGGCATTCCTAAATCCTAAAACATGACTTCTGTGTAGATCTAATTATAGAGATGAAAATACTTCTTTGGCAAAGCAAAAATATCCAAGATTCCTGTGAAAGGATGATAGAACTAATTTGGCAAAATTGCTAAATCGTTTTCAGTTGTGAATGTAGACCTGCACAACTTGTGAAAAAGAACCGTAACATGGTGTATTAATGATTCTGGAAGCTAACTGCATTATTTTAATTAACTTATCAGATGCAGTGTGTAAGGGGAAAGTAACACAGATAGAATGAGGCTAACAGAAGCATGGCTATCACCTATTTTATAACATTACTATGGTTTTCTAAATCTTCTTAGCCAAATTTATTTTAAAGTTATGTTACAAAAGTTTTTTAAAAAGTTGATACATGTATATAAATGATACATCGCATGTATGTAATCATCAAACACAGCTGTTAAAGATGTTACTTTCTCTTTTGTTTGCCTTCCAAAGAAGCAGTTTAGCCACTTTGCGTTCCTCTGGCTGTGGCATGAACAATATATACATATATGGCGTATTCTTCCTGCTGCTTAAGGAATCAGTTACATATTATTACAATGGTTCAAAATATCTTCTCAAAGTGTTTTATGGTTCTTGACTTAGTGGGTAAATTGTCCACGCTATAACATTTTATTAAGCAGTGTACACAAAACAGGAAAGGAGGACTGTGTTCTGGTGTTGGGGAGCAAAATTAATGAATGTCTTAATCTCAATTTGGCTGCTAAGTTTGGAATAAATGGAGAAGTGGTAGCATTGAATTTCTCTGTCAGTGAGTTGGATCCACTGTGTTTTCTGGGGGCATGTTAACTGTGGGGTGGCTGGATATTTGGGGGTGATAAGCTTTCATTTTTTTCTAGGTAGAACTGTTTCATTTTGAATAAATAGAGAGCAAGCAAAAATATTTGTTGTTTGAGTAAGGATGTGTATACATGTATGTTGTCAAGATGGTCAAGGAAGGTTTTCGTGGTTTAGTTTCTCATTTTACTCTATTATTTTTCATTTATTAACATCCGAACATGGCCAGTGGTTGGAAGAGATTATGAGATACATTGCTTAGTATGGTAGCACCTGACGCTTTAGTAAGAGGAAGACTCATATCTCTTAAGAAAATAGGAAAAGTCAGGATGAGTCTTTCCACATCCTGATGTGCTTTAAGCACTGAATTGATGGTTAAAGACAGCTAATGCTTTTTCTTCCAGTAGCAGTCCTGTGTTTCTACTCCAGGGAGCTGATGTTCCCGAATCCACATTGAGGGAGGCAGATTTTATTATTTCTGGCAAAAATATCTGAACGCTATTTTTAAGTCCCCTTTTTAGATGGAGAAATAGTACACTGAAAAATGTTAATGGGATTTGTCTGGAAGCGAAATCATAACAGTATCTTTCCTGCCTCTTCAAATGTGTTCTGAATTGTAATTATTTTAATACAGGTTTCCTCTCAGTTGCTGTGTATCTGAACAGGACTTTTTCCAGATATTCCCCAGCTTTGGTTCAGAAGACAGGCTTAATTTAATCTTAACCCTGTTGGCAAAGGGCAAACATTTTTCTTGGAATTTTCAACCCTTCTAGACAGACAGACAGAAAAGCTTGCCTTAAAATTAACCTCAGAATCAGCACAATAGTATTCTATAATTGTCATTTATTGGCTTCCATATCCGAAATATTTTGTTAATTTCTGTATACTGATTTATTTGTAGCTGCAAAAAAATAGATGCCCATCTGGCGTTTGCAGTGAGATAAATGCCAAAATTATTCTGGAATAATAATTAAACACCCCCCTCAAAATAACATACAAACGCACTTGAACTTGCAGTTGGTTGTACTGGTTGGGTCTGAAGTATTAAGCTTAGAGAATTTTAATCTTTATATCACCAGACACCTTTACTTCACTGTGATTTCATAGATAAATACTTGAGAGACTATGAGGATTCTTGTATTTTAATACTGGTGACAATGTATGCATAAGGATGAATGTCTGTAAAGATGACATCCAAACTTCAGTCTCCATTTGAATGTAAAAAAATACTTTACCTGTTCCTAGCAGGAGTTGCAGTTGCCTTCAGAGAAGATTCACTTATTCTTGGTCTTTTTTCATGGGTATTAGTAGACTCTTTGGTATTCCATGTTTCATCGATCTTGGGAAATAAAATATTCAGATGAGATTTTAGGAGAATTTAACTATGTCTTAAAAAAATATTGAATATCCCTTAAACAGGGTGCAGATATTGCAGTGTATCTCCACAGCATTTTTTGTCTTTTTTTTAATTACTGCATGTAATTATTTTAGTTGTTTCCCATATATATATATATATATATATATATATATATATATATGTATATTTATTTAGGTATGGCTTCATTTCCATTGCTTCAAGCTATCTTGACATACTCTAAATCATTAACCCTGTCCTCCAGGGAACTTACGCTTATGGCAGCATCTTTGATATTAGATTGGATCCCTTCCCGGCAGAATTTAATTGACTGGATTTCTAGGGGGAGAGTTGGTTCCTTCAGTCTCTCTTTGCTACATCAGGCCATGATTGTTTCAGAAGTTGATTTAAAAGCCAAGTTTCTGCTTTTACGTGATAGCAAAGCGAGAGCAGTCTGTGAATCGGAGGGCAAAGGCTGTGCTTTGAAGCATAAGCTGATATGTTTTTTCATTCAGGGATATATTTGCGCTAAGTGTACTGGCATTTTATAAGTATTCATAACAATAAAAGCAGCATGAAATGAATGAATACAGTATTATAGGGTCTACTTGATTGTAGTTTGCAAGGAAACCTGGAATTCTATCCAGTCATGGAGGCAAACATCGTAGCAATAAGGTAAGAAAGTGATGTACCTTACTTTA